GGTTTGCTGATTTGATTGATGAAATAATACCATTCCTTGAAGAAAATGGCAAGCAAACTAGGATGTTAAAGGAATCATCTTTCAAATGTGATTTAGCATTTTTAGTTGATGTGACAGCCCATCTGAGTGACCTAAACGAAAATTTGATGAGAAAAAACCAATTCATCAGTCACCTGGCCAATACAGTATCTGCTTTCAAGCTAAAACTCCAGCTGTTCTCAAAGCAGCTTGGCTGTCAAAATTTTGTTAATTTTCCTTACCTGAAGAAACTCAAAGAAAATTTTTCTGACAAACAACTTGATTATTCAGATCAAATAAAGAGCCTGCTTTTTTTTTTTTTTTTTTAAGCGATTTGCAGACTTTGAGTTGCATTAGGTTAAATTTAAACTGTTGGGGGGTCAATTTTTTTGCTGTAGTCGAAGAACTTCCAGAAGATGTTCAAATAGAATTTATCGATTTACAAACTTCTGACTTATGCAAACCCAGATTCCGTGATTTAGATATTCTGGGCTTTTATCACCTCTACCTGCTGAATTTTGCACTTAAAAAATAACACAAGCAGATGTGCTACCATGTTTGGTATGTCTTAAGAATATCAACAACTAACTTTCAACCAAATATATTAAAAATTGTTGATAAAAATTCAGTCTCAACCATCACGCTAATGTATTTAACTGTGGCTAACTTGTACACATTTTTATTAAAATATTTGTATACAAGTATTAAATTATCATGCATTTCACATTGTTGATTTTACTTCTACTAATATATTGCATCCCTGATGTCAATCTGGCGATTCATTATTTATTATAGTTTACTTTCATCACCGCATAATTATCAACACAAGACAACTTGAGTAATGACTCATGGAGTGATGCCTAAACAATTTTTTTTTTTTTTGTTGTTGTTGTTGGTTATTGAATAATAAGGAGTATGGTAACCTTTTATGTTGACAGTACGCTTGACGATGATTACAGATTTAAGTTCAATGCACTAAGAAATGTTGGCGAGAAAAAATTTAACCAAAATCTCTTTCTATGTGCTAAACTTAGATTTTTTTAATGATACTCATCTGCTGCTAAAAAATTAAATTTAGTCCTATTTGAATTAAGAATAGCTGATTTGTTATTCACATAAACCCAGAACCAGCAGCAGAGCTTGTGTGGCCTCACCGGGCGGCAGAATGTAGGACCCACAAAGACTGCATCAGGCGGTAAGATATCTAGTGCCTGCCCTCAATAAGCTTTAAGTATATGTGGGAATTTATTTATTCAGGACTCGTAAGCATGTGTAAGAAATATACCTAGTGTTACAAGGTATTTCTCTCGCCTTCTTAGCATACCTTCGGCGTGTATTTGAGAAGTCCATGGTTCGAGTCTTGATGAGGGCATTGCTCATTTTTCATCTCTTCTGCTTCTAAATAACCTTATGTCTCTAAAGTGATGCCTGAACTAAAAGATGGTGAATGATTTTTCACTACCAGGACTTTGTGATTGGATTCCCTAAAACCCCAGCCACCCTTTAAAAGGGGGGAGTATATAAGGTATTTCTCCCGCCTTCGTGGTGTAGTGATCAGTACGCTCGACACGAAATCAAGAGGTCCGTGGTTTGAGTCTCGGCGAGGGCATTGCTCATTTTTCACATCTCCTGCTTTGAAATAACCTAATGTCTCTACAGTATAATAAATAATTAAACTAATACAATTCACACTTAATTGTCTCAGTGTGCGAGAGAAGGAAGATAAAATTTAGCAGAATAACTTGTCTTTAGTCAATCTCATAATATATAACCAAATATGTATAGTGAACAACAGCTAAATTTTATGATGATAGCCGCGAATTTTAAAGGTTTTCGGATATTGCTAACCAAAGGTGAAATTTTCCAATTATTGGGTTCCGTAAAGAAATGTGGAGAGGTGGTAATAAATGAAGATGATATTAAAAAAGGTTTTCATTGTGGTGGTAGTGCTCCTCAATCAATTAATGAATGGCAAAATCTGTAATATGGTTCTAGATCCAGAAAATACCACGACTAATAGTGAATGAAGTGACTGAGAGGCTAGTGAAAACGAAAAAATTTCAATTGACAAGTTAGTCGGAATTCTTGACACAGTAATTGCAAGATTTCAACAATGTAAGTGAATAAGCAATTATGTATGTAGAATTAAAGAGAAAGCATTAGCACAAAAAATGAAGCAACTTTAACAACTTGCATTGAAAGAAATGTTTAATAAAGTAAAAAAATAAATAGTAAGCTTTTGTAAATTTTGATACCCTTTAGATGATCATAATAATTCATTATTTCATAAATCGCAATTGCCCACCAGCGGCCGAGCGGTAAAGTCACTGAACACTGGTAGTTCGGTCCGAGGTTCGAATCCCGCGAACGGGCTGACTGCATGGGCGTTTTCGTGGTTTTCCCCATGTGTAACGTGTATACGAGCCAGTTTCCCTTAGAAAGTTCTCCACGAAGGCATCCCTCCCTTTAGGCAGATAGCCCTCGTGTGCTTTGCCATAATTAAATACACCACACCATAAATCACAATTTCATATTTTTAATTTTATAATTTCTACATGACGTCTTACTAAATTTAAACTGATGATCTAATATCCAGAAAAATCCCAAATATGGAATCGTGGAAGTCCTGATGAGTCTGGATCTCGTACTTTGTACTGTATATGTATGTTCTTGCATTGTTGGAAAACAATGGCATCTAACCACCAAATTTTTACAGTCAAAAGTCGTTAATTGGGACTTCAGCGATTCCAGATTATCGATTTTTCCGGACTATAGATCATCAGTTTAAATCTCGTAAGATGGCATGCAGAAATTCTAAAATTAAAAATATGAAACCATTATTTATGAAATAAAGAACAATTATGATCTAAAGGGTATCAAAATTTACAAAAAAAAAAAGCTTAATATTTATTTGTTTACTTTATTAAACATTTCTCATAATGTAAGTTGTTTAAGTTGCTTCATTTTATGTGATAATACTTTCTCTTTAATTCTATAAAAAGACATAATTTCTTGTTCAGTTACAAAGTTCCGCTGTTCAAGTCCTGTTAATTACTGTGCCGAGAATACCGACTAACTTGTCAATCGAAATTTTTTCGTTTTCACTAACCTCTCTGTCACATTCTTCATGTCTTTATCCATTTTTTGCAGCAATTCCACTTTTTGTTTGTTGGACATTGAAACATACTTTCGTTTGTAGATCCCTTGGAAGTTCCACCATCGGGAAATTCTATTTGACATAATCGAAAGTTCAAGTTTACTTTTATAAAATTGCTCTTACAGTCTGCAAAAAATAATAAGCAGGATCCAATTCGAAGATTAAGGAACAACGCAATCATTAACATTAACTGAAATAGATAATTATATAATTTTAACTTACACCGTCCGTTATACATTAAACGCTCAAACGAAAACGTATTCTGCACTTGCGCACACGCATATGCACAGTAGTCAAGGTCTTACGTGCATGCGTAAAATACCTGTGTGCATGTGCCAACGCGGCGCATGCGCAGAAAGTTTTTAGCTTTGAGGTCCGGATTATAGATCATTCCGGATTATGGGTGTCCGAATTAACGACTTTTGACTGTAATACACATTGTCCTCTACTAGAGCATGTGCACTTTAAAGTTCAAATTTATATTTTATTTATTTCATATTTTGTACAAACTTGATGAATTTTTTTAACACACTTAGTGATTCTAAAGCAAGAAGAGGCAACACTATTCAAAATAAAACAATTTTATCTCCGGCATGCCATACTGTTTCCATTTGGCAAAATGTAAGATATTTCAATTTTTAATCAACAAACTTGTCTGTTTGAAAGTACTGTGTTGCTGCTGCTGGGATTAAAATGCTGTTATCTTCCATACCCCAGCATGTTGTCATTCATTAATCGTTTGACTGCTACGCGGCGCAAAAGCGCTTCGTTCTTTTGTCTCAAAAACCGCGACGCAGTTAGTTATTTTAGAATGCACTTGTGTTACAAAGTACTCGTGAGGTCAGACTACGTACATTCACACCCACGGAGCAACAAAGACACACTGAAACTTGCAGTGCAAAAGCGCTGCGTCGCGGTTTTCAAGACAAATGAACGCAGTTCTTGTTCGCCACGTAGCAGTCAAACGGTTAAGCCATAAGGTGTTAAACTTTCAGACTTAATCTGGAAGTTTATTGAGTAACAAACTAAGTAGTTTCAAAGCAATAAACATTTCTTAAGAATATTTTTCTTTCTTTGTAACATAATTGATTTAAATAAAAATGCATTAAATCATGAAATATCTAATCAGAAGTATTAAATATTTTTATGAAATTAGCTAGCTAGACTCATTAAAAGCACTATATAGTTTTTCTTTTTTATGATAACTATTTTAAGTGATTGGTCAGTTTTTAAAGGGATAATAACAGCAAACATTAAAAAAAATAAACTATGGCTACCCTTAGCACTACTGGGAATAAACAAATGCTGCTTTTAAAAATGTGATTTTTCTGTTGAATTCTATATGATTGCAAAGAAAGCAATGCTTAATAATAATAAAGATAAAAAGGCAAAAATTAGTGCTGGCCAGAGTGATACCAAGAGCAGATTGTGCTGGCATTGCATGGATCTCCATAATAAATAAAGTTAACCATGTTTAAAAACTAGTGTTTTAGCCACTATAACACCTGTTCAGCAAGATGTGTCATTCATTGAGTAGATATCAGGAATATTAGGTTAACAATTAACAATTATTTCTGAATTTTTCTGCAGGCTGTTTTCCATTCTTATGTATTTTAAAGTAACTTATGATTATAAAAAGCAGGCCACATCATTAAAATTAGTTAGCATAAGTAAGTAAAATCTTAACAATGATTTGATTTCAACATTAGCCTACTCTTTATGAACATTTAGGATTACACTTTTATGCCATTTTTATTTGTATATTTAAAAAATTGCTCTGGTAATATTCTAAATTGTGTAGTAATGGATTTAATTCTTTTTCTAGATATTTACAACACTTTCTGTAACCAAGAGATCTGGAAGATCTACTCTACAAGCAGGTTGCTGAGGTTAAACTTACTGCTACCTAAATAGAAATGGATTATATTTCCTTGAAAAAGGAATTTGCTGCTATATTCCAAAGAAATTTTTAATTCTATGATTAATGTTTCTATCATCAGTTGTATTTTAATTTATGAATTATTCTTTAATGCAATTATTTCTTTTTCAAGGATTATCCATTGGTAGCAGTAGGTTTTATTTTTATCTACCAAGCATTGTGTCTGGTAAATTTAATGATGGCTTTTCTATAAACCATTGCAATGGGTAGAAAAGTCGGATGTCTCCGGATTCAGTGCGAGGTTCTACAATTCATACAAGTATTAATAAATAGACTGCAAATTTACTTATACTGTTAATTTATAAATTTCAAATTATGTGATAATTTATATAGCTTAAATGGGCTTTTGTAGTATGTTAAAAGTTTTTTTTTTTTTTTTTTTTTTTTTTTTCAAATAAAGCTATAAAATACAATAATTTTTTGACCCTCTGTAAAAATTTTCTTTTTGGTGGAACTTAGTATAATGTAATAATGAAAAATATTGATAATGTAATACAAATTTATAAATGTATTTCAAAATTTTGTTTAACTGTTTAATGCTGCCATATAATGTTCAATTTTGTTTATATTCTGGTATTTGTTGAAGTAGCTCTAACTTAAATATTGATATTTTCCAAGTGATCTGTAAATGCAAAATTTTTACCTGGTTTAATAATAAAGCTTTAATTATTTACATAGATTGAGCTTTTATTATGTAAATAAGTTAAAAACATTGGCATTCTATTCTGATTTTAAATCATATATGACATTATAGTCAGGGAGAGATTTTAAAATAGCTTAAAACCATGCACTTGAAATCTAATAATTGTTTTGCTTCTTCTTAATATACACATCTTATATTGGTGTATATTTGAAAGATAATTATGTAGATGCTGTATTCATGTCTATTTAAAGAAATAAATCATAAACTTGAAGATAAAGGGAAAATATGTATTTCCAAGAGTACAGGTATGTTCTGTATTCTTTGACTGAGCCTGTATTTATCTCCTCATATAATGCATGCTTCTTAATTTGTCATAAGATCTCACATTTATTTTTCAAATGAATAAATTTTGAGCATGAAACTGGTTTTCATTTTTACGGGGAGGAGAGATGAATGATTTTTAAGCTTAGTTAATATTTCTGTAATGGAACAGTGTGAGAAATAACTAATATTGCAAAGGGAACAAAAACACTTGCCAAGAATTAGTACGGAGATTAAAACTGAGGGTTTAAACCCTCTGAGCAGCATGAGTGCTTTATCTGGCCATGAGATGTTTTGTCATTTTGTATGTCTTGACTTATATATTTTGCTTTCTTTATAAAGGAATAAGGAAAATTTCATCTTAATGAATGTAATTTTATGAAAATAGACTAAAATATATAATTATACAAATTTAGCTAATAAATGTTGTTTCAATACAGGTCTTCATGACAGATTTAAAAAAACCTCACCTCATAGAGGGTTAAGAAAATAAGGTAATATTGACCTTTGTAGAGATGCATTTGTTCTATAAATGGAATACAGGAAAGGTATTATTTAGTTAAGAATATGATGTGTTTTAACAGCAATGATTAGCATCTACTCATGTTAATGCCATTTCACCTAAGCTATTGGACCACTTCTTTGCAAGTGTTATTTTCAGTTGATAGACATCGTGTAGTGTATGTCACATGATGCTTCCTGAGTGTTGAGCTTGAAACAAAGCAAGACTAAGAATAAGAGCTTTCTGAAACATGCTTCATAAAACTAATATCCACTGATGGATGAAATGTTATTTCAAGTCTAGAATAAATTTTACTGTAGCATTTTATGAAATTTCTATACATCTCAATTATGTAAAAGAAACAAAATCATTATTACTCTATATCCTTTTCATTTTAAAGTCTCACCAGTGGCTGAATAGTTAAGATTACTGAGGGCTGGAACCCAGGCAAATGGGCTAACTGCATGGTTGGTTTTCCTTATGTGAATACAAAATAAGTTCCCTTAAAAAAGGATCCCTACTTAGCTCTCATGTGCTTATCATATTCAAATAATCTAACCTGACCTTTTGATAATCAATATCGCAATACTTCACTTTTGAGGCGAGAAGTGACTTTTCTAGTTTAATATTGTATCTGAATAAGAGACTAAAGCACTTTCAAAAATTTATTTATTGGAAAGAAATGTACTAATTTAAAGCAAGACAGAGATTCAAGCACAAATTGTTGTAAATACAGGTATCCTCCAATTTACATACGTACATAAAATTATTGCAATTGTCATTCAGTAACAGATAGGAAATTTCAAATACTAAAAACTTAATATAAAGAAAATACAAAAATAAAAACATTTCAAAAATTATAAATATATTTAATACTGCAACCAATCTAAAGATATATTTCAATAAATGTTCCCTTATTTCAAATAAACTGTTTATTATAAAAATTTCCAAAAAAAAAGTTTTAATTTCTAGAAAAAATTAGTAATAATTTTTATGATGACATGTAAAACTTTGTGTATTGACACTATACTGTTTATGTCTTATCAGCACTGAAATGTTGAGACAACTCTAGTAGATAACCACAAGAAAAAATTGGAAAGCTCATATTATGAAAGAGGAAATATAAAACATCAACAGTTAGGAAGGGAAATGTCACAAAATACAAGTCTTCTGCTGTTTAATGAATGATTCTTACAAGGTTATTTACTTCTTATTATCCACTTAACATATATTAAGTAGCTTGCAGAGTGGCATTTATGAAATAAAAATTACTGGAATTATAATTAGATGGTTTACTGTTGCTTGCACATTGGATTTTTTTATTATAAATGGATTTTTAAATACCACTTTTCAGCACTTCACTTTTAGCACCAGTAATCATATGAAATATGTGATTCTCCAATTAATTTTTTTTCTGCATATAACTATAATATGTTAATTTTATCTTTTTAAAATTCTTTTTACATTCACTTTAAATATTCTAAGACAGTTATCAGATACTAGGAAAAATAGCATGCATAATGAGAAGAAAAGTAGACTCATATCAACAGCCCATAGGCAATCTTATAAAACACAGTAACCTCCATGATATTTTTCCTCCCATAAGATTTACTCTATCGAGTTGTTCTGGTGTCTTTTTTTTTAGGTATAATGGCAATTTTCATCTTATTGCAAATTAATTATGCTGCTTAAGTGCTTTGGTTTATTAATAGTTTTATTTTTTTCAACTTTAAAAATAGCATTAAATCAAATCTGCAATACAGCTTCATTCACCACTTCATATTTTCAATTTGATGAAACACATTAAAAATGGAAATAATTTATTACAAAATATATTACTAACAACACTTAATTTACACTGGGAATGCTTAAGTTACACTTTCCTAGAATTGTTTTAAACTGAAAGAGTTTTTATAATATAATTTTCCAGGAAATAAATGGCATGCATTTTCAGCACCTATATACTATGAGTAACATAATGGTTCATTCAAATCTTATAATAATGCAATATGTTGTAAATGTGTTTTTAGTATTATTACCATCTTCTATAATTAATTCTCTGAATATGTACAAGATTAAGAATTGTTACCCTTTGATGAGAAAAAGCAAGGTAATTTGTTGCAAGTCTTTCTATCATGATAAGGCTTCATGGATGCCATAATGCTTTTTTTCTGCACAGCACTCGACTGAGTTCAGTTTTACAGAATGTAACTGTAATTTTGTCTAGCAGCATTACTTGACTTCCAGCATTACTTGTTTTCCAGTAAGGAAAATCCTCTCTTAACAAAACATTATAATTGAAGAATTTCATTTTAAAATCAATGCAAATTAAGGGCTACTCGTATATCATTCAAGTAATTTCATATACAGACCGGATAATTTTATATAAAGCTAGCTAAAGCATGTTATTTATTTTAGATAAAGATTCTGTGAACAGTTAAGACAACATCTTACTATTTAAGGAATTCAGTCAAACAGTTTAAAAGACTAAAAGTGTATAAAGCTCTGTCTTTGTACAAAATTATAATACTGCATACAGTCAGTGACAAAATATAAAAGTAGGTTAACAAAGATCAAGTGATTTTACATTTTAAAATAATGCTTGCAATTTTCCACTTTGATGTGCAGCCATAGTGTCATCACAGCCACCAATGTGCTGCTCATTGATAAATACTTGAGGAACCGAGGTACTTTAGCCATTGCTTGTTGCATTTCAGTTCCATTTTCTGTAAGATAAATATTGTTAAAAAAGAATTAAAATTCAATATCAAACTTAAATACTCTCTGAATGTTCCTTTCAATTATATTATTTTCTTTTAGGGCATTAGCTAAATCAAAATTATATTCAGTTTCATGAAAGTATATACTCGCATAACACAGTATAATTATACATTACCTGTGCATGTATAAAGTAGCTTAATATGCTATTTTTATACATGCAGTACACCTTCAAATGTACATTAAAAGCAATTTATTAAAAGCTACAATTTTCTGCTGGCATACTATTTTAATTCTGCTAGTGATAAAGCATATTCTTGACTACACTGTAGTAAGATAAATTCATTGCCATTAACCTAACAAGATATTCATATTACTATGAATTTTATATATATGTAAATAGTTTTAGGGAAATACCATGTCAATTGTAGTATCTCTTGTATAACGTAGCGTGAAAGGCCTCAAGCACTCGAAACTTCACTGGAAAAATTAGTTTACAAGGGCAAGTTCGCTTAACATGGAGGTAATGGCTATCTCGTTAAGTGAGATAGCGCCAAGCTGGTGATGGTTTTAGCGACTAATTTTTTCATCAGATATGGCGAGAAATGGCAAAACTTTATGACCATTTAGCGATATTTTGGTCCAATTCCTATGTAACTGTAATTGTATCCAGCTCAATGCAACTTTAATTGTATGCCTTTCAGTAATTTCGTGAAACCGACGATGCTGGAAATTTCCCAGCGGTGCCGGGTGAAAACGATATAAGACGAGAGAGTATCAGTTTTACGCTTAATTCAGAGTTTAGCTCAGAGTACTGAGAGATCACTGTAAACATTTGAGGCTTATGTTCTTAGTAGTTTTGATAATTGATTGTGCTCTGTGATAGTGAGAAGAGCTATATGAGTAATTCTATGAAATGTTCCAGAATGTAAAGTGTTGCTTTTAGGAAAATAAATTTCATAAAGCTATTATAAGTTCTGTGTGCTCTGAGTTCATTACAAACTATAAACATGCAACAAATTCTGGTATCAGGAGTGGGACTGAATGCTAGTGATGGAGAAACACCTAAGAAAGCTGGTGACAGCTTTTGCTGCATTCCAAGAAAAATATGGAAAGGGTCATCAAGTCAGTTCAAAAAAAGATTGAAGCAGGTCATGAGGAAATTAAAAAAAAAAAAAAAATTACTGCCATACTAGAAAACAAATTCAATGCTATCGACTGCTGTTGAACAACAAACTGACGATGGGGTTTTGCAGCTTTTGCCACGGAAGTTGAAAGCTGGAAATAATACTGACGACTCTAAATACCTGTGTCTTCTCGATCGTGTCTTTATATATCCAGGTATGATGGAGACTTCCAGACAAGTGTAGAAGACTCAGTTCTTTACCGTAGCAGACGCAAACAGATAACAAAATTAAGGCCTACAGATAAAGTTTTTCGCTTTCTTCATGAATACTACTTTGGGAACAGAGTAATTGCGTTAGATTATCCGTAATTTACTGACACAGGAATAGCTTGGCCTCCATATTCTCCCGATCTGAGTGCTTGTGACTTCTTTCTGTGGGGTGCATTCAAAGACACTGTCTATCGAAACAATCCCGCTACTCTAGATGAGCTTGAATTGTTATTGGCGTTGCATGCGATTCCATTTCCGTTGAGACATTGCAAGACATGATGTCAAATTTCCTTGTTCGTTCATGCCACCTCATTGTTTCGAATAGTGAACATTTTGAAAAAATTGTATTTTGATTGCAGATGCTGCTTCCCTTTATTTTATTTATTTATTTATTTTTAGACTGCTTTCAGAGAAAGAGTTTTCAGCACAGGGCGCCATCTGTTAGCGATTTTCGTAACTAAATTTTCTAAAGTTCTGTACACCATTTTTACAGTTTTGCTAACAAACGTACAGTTTACCGCATAATTCTATCGATCTTTGTTGTAGAGATATTTAATTTTGAAATCAGGGCTTATTTGCTGACCACCCTGTATATAAAAAAACTGAAATGTTTCAGATTTTAAATTACGTCCAAAGGAATGTTGCCCTGTGATTTTTTTAACGTTTTGTGTGTTACCTTTATTTATTAAATATCATGTTCTTTGCACTTAAACCATAAACTTCAGTTCAATAGCAATGTCGCAAAATAATTTTAAAATGAGCATATCTTTAGCATTTCCGATACACAGCTGGAGATGAAGTTCCCCCCCCCTCCTCCATGAAGTTTTGCCATTGCTCGTTTTGAAATTCTTGAGTTTGTTAATCAAAAATTCGTTAAAGTTTTAGAAAATATGAAATCGATAATAAAACAAATTCCAAATTTGGACTTCCACATGCCCATATTCGTAAGAGGATTACATCATTCAAAATTCGATGGCCCATATGTACCGTTGTTTTATCACAATGCGAGAAATGTACATACATTTATGCAGATTTTTCATTGTTTAATTTCATCAAATATAATGCAGGACTCTAACATTTGGTGGCAACAGTTTGAAAAGTGAAGCGGACATTTATAGTGATTCAACGCAAAACGAAAACAATAGTCCTTCAGGGATAAAGGCCCTTTCGACTAAGAAGGAAAATACTGAGCTCAGCAAGCGAGGTAACAGGATGAGAATATATATATGTGTGTGTGTGCGTGCGTGTATTGATGAAAAAGCGAGATGCGCAACTACATGTTATAAAAGCCCCATATACAAAAGTTTAAACGTTCTACGGTTCCTTGTTTTTTGGGTTATGCGAGATACATACACATGTACAGATGTCACAAAAAAAAAAAAAAAACATATCCCTTCTGAACTGTCAGCTGTCACTGGACTGTCAGCGAAACAATCGCGCTGATAGATGTCTGGAGATGTGATAGCATCCCCCCAAAAATTAAATGCAACTGTACAAGATACGGAAATTATAGACAAATACAGACAACGTTATCTGATGCTAGAGGTATTCCAGAAATATCGTTCAAATTTAAGCTGAAGTTAAGACTAGTGCATATCGGCCTCAACACGACAAGGGACTCGGTACCTTTTGAATGATTTTTTATTTTTTTAATTTAAGCATTTTCATCTACTTTTTATGAATTATTAAATGGTTTTGTGAGACAAAATAATTTTAAGCTGAAAAAAAGTTTTTGCTAGTAATTTTTTTAATTTAAATTTTTGAAGAAAAATTTTACAATTAAAAAGTCTTTCTTCTTCTACAATTTTTAATGTCTTCCCCCCATTTTTTATTGTATTTATTAGAGTGTTCTTAATAACTTCAAGGAATGATTTTGTAATTAATGACTTAGTTTCTGAGAAAAAAATAAAAATAAACTCTTATCTAAAATCTTTAACAAATATGATCTCAGTCACATTTTCATTTCAACTTACTTTTCCTTTCAGTATTTTGCAAAACCCATCCTTGTTTCTATAAAGTATATAATTTTAAATAAGCAGTAAATGTAATAAAAAATTTAGTCCATACCTGTATATGTTTTAGGAGTTTAAGTAAAGGATTTATTGAAAAAAATGCAAAAGGTTTCTCAGTTTGCATTTGCAGTTTAAACAATACAAACTGTCTAAATAGACATTTAATAATTTCAAATCTTTAAAATTTTATTACTGAATTTCAATACACACACATATATATATATATAAATCAAACCTAGTGCTATTTATTCAATTGGTAAATATAAACATAAATTACAAACCTTTTTTTAAAACCTTATGTGGCCATAAAAATTGCAAAAACTCATAAAACGCAAGCAGAATTTTTCTTTACCTGTTTTTGTTTTGTAAAACACGTCAAAACAATTTTAATACATTGATTAATTATAATATTGTTGCGTGCGTACGGGTTTGTAATAGATTGATAATAGTTCGTAAATGATTGTCATTGAACTCAAATCCGATGATAGCTTAATTAAATTTATTTTATCAACAGAAACACTTCAAAGTTCTGTAATTTTCCTCATAAATACTCGTACAAGTGTTTAGAATATCACTAAGTATAATCAGTAGTTATGCTTCAGTCTAATAAGAACGTTAAACACAATGGAATGCAAAACGCATCTTAAGAGAAAGTTAACTCAGAAATATCTCCAATCTCACGCTGAATTAACAACTGGCAACAATAACAACTTATATAGCATAAATAATGTCATAAAAATAGTGTGGTATAATGAGCTTATTACTTTGAAACCGATGTTTCGAATTGATGCCCAAGAAGAACCAGTATTTCCCATTCTGCTTCATTGCATATCTTTCAAAAAAGTAAAAATATTATCCAATTTATTTCCTTTCTCATTTTTTTTAAATGCGAAATGTTTGTTTTATAAGCTGTGAAAATGTCAGAAGTTTGTAATCGATATATTTTTAGATATGAAATTTTAAAATTAATGGGCGTCAAAGTCTAAAAATATGAACGATTTTCAAAAATTCTCCCAAAATATTTTTGTAAAAAATTACGCTAAAAATTTCATGTAATTTTTTTTCCTCCATAGCGTGTTACGGTGCAAACTATAATATTCTGAGATTCTCAGTTTATTTGTTAATATTTGCAAAAAAAATTTTCAACTTTAAATTTGGAGAAAATCTAATCCTCTAAAATTCAAAAGCGTGACACCACATCCACAAGCAGTGTATGTACAAAGTTTGAGTTCTATTTCTTATCGGGAAGCAGTATAAAAATCCATGACCATCTTTTAACCATAGCGACAAGCACCAAGAGTGAATTAAATAACAGCTTATAAAATAATAATAATAATAATTAAAAAGCATATATTTTTCAGGAACCATTACGAAAGTTCAGGTACCAGTTTCGAAAGTACAGATTACAAAATTAACAACAGTAAGCAACGTTAAAAATGTGTAAACAGTATTAGAAATCTGCAAATTAGGAGACGTGATTGTTCACAGACGCTTAGGTGTAAAGGGGAAGAAGGAAGACGGTGGTCTTCTGAACGGGTCCTAAAGACGAAACTCTTTCATGTCTCCTTTTTCTCCTCTTGCTAACGGCAGCTGTGCGAAGGAGCGTTGCATGTGAACGGGGCTTTGGAGTAAACAAACGAAAAGCCAGCGACTCGTTCGGCTGTGACGTCACTTAAGTTCGCTGTAGCATCTCCTAATAGTAGTTTCGTATTTCCTTTTCAAATATTTTCTGTTTTTCATCGGAAAAGTAAAAATTCTAATATTTGGAGTTGAAACTTTACTACCTAAAATATAATTTACTATATAGAATAAGTTTTAATTACGAAAAGTTCCCTCAGTAATTTATTGTTTCATCAAAAATCTTCCAAACTTCACTGTAAAAAAAAAGTTCGCTCTTTACAGGCAAAAGTTTTATAAAGTTACAGAAATCAAAAAGTTACAGAAGAATTTCCTGTAATGGTAACAGGTTGAAAGCAAACTGTAGGGGTAACAGCTGATTTGCTTGTAACATTACAGATAATGTTTCAGTAGCCGCGCAGAAGAATCACGTGACTGACTGGAAATTAGCCAATCAGGAGAAAAGTGTTTGAAAGCTAGTTGCAGAAAACAACATGGCTGAATGCATGTTGGTTGTATAGCGCAGGTAAGTAAGAAAATGCTTACAATTACTGCTTGAAATATTTTTTGTTCATTTTATGCAAATTATTCTCATGCACTTTGCACTGTTATATGTAGTGAGTAAGTATTTAAACGTTTAAGCTTTGCGATTAATTAATATCAGTGTTTGTAATGTCTAATGAGTTGAAAGAGTGCAAAATATAAATGCAGATCTAATAGTAGTATTTTGTCATTGTGCATCCGATAAATTACGCCTTAAATTGCCCGTATTATTATTAAAATAATTATTCCAAAATTTAATCACTGTTGTGGTATATAATTGAAATGGTAATGTGGTTTTGTTGAAAAACAAAACTAATCATTTTAGCGTTCTTTTCCAATCGTCTGACCAAAGAAACGTTTGACATCTTTTTCCCGGCAGGCCTTGCGAGAAACGTTACATAAACATTTAGAATTCTGAATGTAATGTATATATTTTTTTGCTTACTAGGTTTAGTTATTCTTTTTCTAGGATTATCTAATTAGTTATACCTGGTTTATAATTCAGTCTAATATGTTTATGTACGAGTGTGTTATGAAGTAAAATTACAAAAAACTTGAACAACGCGGTCGAGAATCTCGTTTATTCCTTAGTGTAATAATATTTTTTCAGTGGTATTAATTTCTTACGAAAATATTATAATTCCAAAATGAAGTAATATATTGATTAAAAATATGCCGTATCATACTTTCGTAATGTTTTGTTTTACTAACTAGATGCAACTTAATTATTCCCATATATTTTAATATACTAATATCAACAGGGGAAAATGGAAATGACCTAAAATTTTTTTCTAACAATTCGTTAAACTAATTATAAAACAAAACTAAAATTTTGTGCATTATTTCCAAAAGTATCATTTCATTAATATTTTATAAATGACAACATATATTATATTGTATATAACTACCATTGGCATACTTATAAGTTTTAAACATTAATGTAGAATTTATGTTGATTTATTTTGCCCAGTTTTAATACAGTTTGAAGTATGATAGTCTTGTTACTAGGAAAGCATGAATCTGCTAATACAAGTTTAATACATTTCTTAACAAATGTTTCTCTTATTCATGTAATATAATATATAAATCATAAAATAAGTTTTCTTAAAAATAAATTATTATTGTTTATTGGAATTTAAAACAATTTGTATCTGTATGTTGTATTAAAAATAAAATAATAATGAATTTTAATGAAGCATTGATTTTAGCATTAACAATGTAATATATATATATATATCTACACACATGAAAAATGGAAATGCAAGCTACTTTTCCTTACAAAAACCGCCCAGAATATATACTTCCCTTTAGGCTGATAGCCTTTGCATGCTTTGCCATATTCTATCAATCCAAATGATGCAAAATGCAGAAAACTTTACTTTCTTTGAAAGTTAATACCGGAAATAAAATCAGTGCATTTGTAAACTACGTTAGTTCCTTATAGCTTGGCATTTAAACTACCCAATGATTTACTAGTCCAAACTAAGGCAGAATTCAGATATCGTTCAAATAAAAGAAAATTAATAAGGTCTGATTTTTAGACGTATATATGAAGATTTATTTTTTAAATATTATTTGAAGTCAACCAAATTAATTCAAATTTAAGTAAGTATTCATGCCTTTCAGTAGCATTATTTTTGATATCTTAAAGCAATGTTATGAAAGACTAGCGAAGTGGATTTGCAAGTTCTAATTACGCAAGGTCCCATGCTTTAAGGGGTCATTTTTAAAAATACTTAATTAACAAAAATATTTAGCATAAAACTTCCAAACTTCACACATGTGGAATATTAATTCTATATATTTATCTCATTCTTATTTTATTAATTAATTTCATAGCATTTTGTGTGACACTAGTAGTAATTATTAATTAAATTTTATGCTGTTTCTGATCTATGTTTTGATTTTGTTATAATTACGTTAGTTTACATAAGATTTAAAATTATGTAAGGTACAAAAACCTTCTGCATCTATTATATATGCTGAAGTGAATGAAATTATGCCAGTGAAATTTTTTAAAATCAAAATAATTTCTGTGGAAAATTAAAGTTATAAATTCTAAATGCAAACAAAGGAGTGAATTTGAAAGTTATCAAATAAGCCTAAGTGTTGGTCATTTTTTTCAGTTTTGCAGAAGAATTTTTATACTTTGCAGGAGGGAATATGATGTTTGGTTTGTTAGTATTAATATTACAACTGAATTATTGCAACTTACATTGCAACACGTAATTTAGCTTAAAATTTATTTGAACTTAATTTTCTAATTTATTTTGATCATGTATATTCATGTGTCATAAGTCTTTGAAATGAATTTAATTCTATTTTTTACACAATTTTTTTTAAAGAAGAAAAAGTCACATTGGTTTGCTTAGTTTCACACGAAGATACATACCTATATATAGAGAGAGGGAGAAAGAGGAGTTATGTTTACTTGCAGACTTTTTTCTCCTTTTTACTAATATTATAGTATGAAATCAAGGGGAAATTAAGCAATCAATTTAAGTTTGAAGGATGGTGATTACAATAAGATCATAAACAATCAAAAATATTCATGAATGAATACTGGTAACATCATAGTATTATTATTTAAAAGAAACCTACATTCCAATAAGAACACTTAGTAACATAACCATTTAAGTTATCTGATAAAAGTAATTTTCATTCCTACTTCCCTATACCTTGAATTTCACTCTTAGTATTGCCCACTGCTACTCCCTAGACCTCAAAGCATTTAATGCATCTGGAGCTGCAATTTGTGTCTTCTTCTACAGCATGCAAGTTATCACCGTTTAGTTTGTACTGCCACGAGCAATGATCTTCAGGATTACCGTATTGCGTTGCATATTCCACCCCACCCAGCTTTAGAACAAGATTCTGAAAATTAAAAAAATATTTACATAATTTTCCCCCTTTTAATGCATTCAGAAAATGAATATCCCAAGATTTTAAAATGGATTTATCAACATATGATTGTTTTGTCATACTAACAAAGGCAACTTTGCACACTTAAGGCCCGTTTGAATCTTTCTCTTCTAACTGTTGAATATTATGTCAGCAGCCTAATACAAACAATGATCTATGATAGTGAAAGCAAATACCAACTGCTATTCACTGTGCAATTTTGCCATATCAGCTGAATGTTCACCCTAGCAAGCATCGGACCACAACCTTCTCTAATTATTTATGTATGATCTGAGGCCTAAGGATTTGCAAGAGAACAACAATGAGAATGACAGAAGTTCAAATTATAAAGAAGAAATGAGATAACTTATTAGATATTGCAATTATGTGTATTCTTATTGAAATAGAGGTTTCTTTTAATAAATAATATTGTGATGTAGCAGTTTATCCATGATTACTTTTCCTTTGTTATATTCCTACTGTGACTGTGTCCTTTGGAAATTAAATTATTCGTTTAATTTTTCCCTCTTAATTTTCGGAAGATAAAATTAGTAAAAGTAAGTGGGAATATGGCATCAAGAGCATTAGATATCCCCATTTTCTTGAAGCTGTTCACTATTATTGTTTCATCAATGATAGGCCATGCACCCAAAATCCACTAGCAAATCAGTTGGTAAGATGAAAATGACCACTATGCGGACAAAACATTAGGGTAACTGTTTTGTGAGCGCCTTAAGGAAGACAAACATTACCTAAATCTTTAAACATATTCAGAATCTTGTGCTAAAAGAAAGCTAGGGGGAAAATGTTGTCCGAGTCCCAGTGATTCCTTTGGACGAATATGTAATATTGTTTTAGAAATTTAAGGTAATAAAATAATATTTTTCGAATGCTAAAACAGTTTCAAGAAATTTATTCAAGTTCTGAATTCTGAATATAAGTATACTGTATATTTATTATATTTAATAAACTATGGTGGCTTCATTTATGAAATATTTGAATATTGGCTGTTTTCTACAATGAACCTCTCTAAGCTAGCTATACGCGATTCCTGAAAATTTTGATCTTTAAAGATAGTGGGCCATCCTAGAGAAGTTATGTTTACTAATTAGTTATTTGATGAGGAATGCTGGTTAAATTTAAAAAGTGATTGACTGAGGTAGCTTGTCGTAATGAGACGGTTCACTGTATCCAATTTTTTAAAGAATTTTAAGCTGTTCTTAATTAATTAAGATATAAAGAATATGATTAAAAGTGATTATAAGCACATGTTTAAAACATCTATTAAATATTTTTATAAGCTTTTTAAGAGCATGATTATGATTTTAAAAGAAATGTTTTTTTCTTTTTTAGGAGACATGGTTTACAAAGAGGAGAAAAAACCA